GTTAGGGGCAGAGGATGGTGCCGGAAAAATAAGAAAGGGTGAAAAAGTGGACAAAAGAGAACGGATGAAGGCCTTGTCCCCGTGCACACGAACAAAATGCGTGTAAAGTCCTCTGCTCGATGTTTCCCCATCTACCCAGACGCAAGGAGAGAAGATTGCAGGCTCAAATGCCAGCAAGTCTGCTTGGCTATAAGCAATAATTTCTTCACTGTAAAGATGCAAAAATAGACAGCAGCCTGCGAAACACTAGCCCCTGTGAATCTATTAAAAACTCCTGCAGACACTGCCGCTGAATCAGGTCAGCTGAGAAATGCAGTTCAGAACGGGAGTTGGAAGACTTTTAAGAGAATGCTTTTTAGTCTTTTGTTTGCCAGGAGATAATTATTTCCCCCATGGATCAAGCCCCCTCCCTGCTAGGGTTTGAATGTGTCCCCAAAGTCCACGTGTTGGGAACTTAACGCCCAGTGCAACCGTTTTGGGGAGCTGGGGCCTAACAGGCGTGACTGGGTCGTGAAGACTCTGTTCTTAGAATGGGTTGATGGTGCTCTAGTGGGAATGGGTCAGTTACTGCAGGAAAAAAAAGGTTCCTGATCAAAGCAAACTTTCCGTGCTGCTCCTCTGTGCTCTCTTGCCTGTCCACCTTCTGCCACGGGATAACACGGCAAGGCCTCCCCCCAGCTGGGCCCTCTCAGCCTTGGACTTCCCACCCTCTGGAATCCTAAGAAGCAAATCTCTGTTCCTCAAATGACCTAGGCTGAGGTTTTCTGTTGCAGGAAGCAAACTAACGCAGAGCAAACTAATCCGGCGGCGTGATCGCTCACCACGGGTTTGCATCTGCAGGTGAGATGGGCAGGTGACACCAAATCCCCGCCAAGCCTCGCTCCTTTCTCTCCCACTCATGCTGGGCTTGCCTGCGAGCCCCACGGTCTCACCTGCTCCCAGGAGAGCTCAGTGCCCTGGCCATGCTGACCCCCTTTCACTTCTCCAAATACTCCATTGCTCTTGTCCACCATCGGGCTTTGGCACAAGCAGTTTCTCGCCCCTCCTGCATCTAGTTAACTTCTTTCCAATCTTTCCATCTCAGCCCCGACACCACTTCCTTCGGGAAGCCCTCCCTGACTGCACTGCCTGAGTCAGGCTCCTTTGTTCACATGGCCTCATAGAACCCATGAGTTCCTATCCTGCAGACCACGTGTCTAGTTTTAGTCTTTGACTAAACTGTCTCCTCTCCCAGACTGTAAACGTTTCTCCACCGGGCTGTAAGGGGACTGTTCCAGTTATCTATTGCTATGTTAACAAATCACCCCAAAGTTTAAAACTGGCTAAAAACAACCTCCATCATTTTGCTCATGGATCTGCAATTCGGGCAGGACTTGGTGGGGACAGCTCATGTCTGCCCCACATGGCATCAGCCCTGCGGGAGCAGGAGGGTCAGCTCTGAGATGACTCACCACGCGGCTGCCTGGGTGGCCCTGGCTTTCGTTTCATCGGCATGTGGTGGCCTCGCCACTGGAGTTTTTTTTGACAAGAGTCTCGCTCTGTTGCCTGGGCTAGAGTGCCGTGGCATCAGCCTCACTCACAGCAACCTCAACCTCCTGGGCTCAAGCGATCCTCCTGCCTCAGCCTCCCGAGTAGCTGGGACTACAGGCATGCGCCACCACGCCCGGCTAATTTTTTCTCTATATATATTTTTAGTTGGCCAATTAATTTCTTTCTATTTTTAGTAGAGACGGGGTCTCGCTCTTGCTCGGGACTGGTTTCCAGATCCTGACCTTGAGCGATCCTCCCTCCTCAGCCTCCCAGAGTGCTAGGATGACAGGCGTGAGCCACCGCGCCCGGCCTCCACTGGATTTTAATAGCAGCTGCCGTGTGAGTGTCCCAGCCACAAGGAAATCTACGAGACGGGAAGCAGAGGTTGCAAGTTTCTTAAGGCCTGAGACGAGAAACTGACACCGCACCATTTCTGCCATATTCTACTGGTCTACCTACAGTCACAGAGCTCGGATTCGAGAAGAGGAGGCATGGATTCCCCCTCCCCCTCAATGGGAGGGGTGTAAAAGGATTTGGGGGCTATACCTGAAAGAGTCCACAAGCGTGATTTTTTTGTCTGAGTCCCTTTGTCACCGTTCCCTGGGCACTCAGCACAAAGCCTGGAACAGAAGGAACAGCAGGTTGAATGAGGCAGCACGCGTGACTGCTGCTCTTTGTCTTTGAGGACCGGAGGGCCTGGGCTTGGCCGATCCCAGCTCACTGTCCAACCTCTGCCTATAAGCCAACCGGTCTCGCCGAACCAGTACCCGGACTCCTCATACCAGAGGAAGCCGAGGTATCTGAGCCCACTCCTCGATTCCCAGCTCTCTCTGTTCCAGGCTGGGAGGGAGGATGGCCAACAGAGTCCCTCTCCCAATTAGCAAAAGTGGCAATTACAGACGCTTGCCTGAAAACACAGTGTGCACTTCAAATTAGTTACACATGACTAAGGCAAGTAATACCCACCTACGGTTGACATTCAACACCGCCCACGGCGGAGCTTGTAGCCGCAGATCTAAAACCCCTGGGGAGGTTCGCTGTGCATAAAGCTCGCCCGGGAGCACCCACTCAGGCATGCATCCTGCAAGCACCTCATTCATTCCCTCTTTCCAGCCCGGGCTTCTTCGCCCAGGGGCCTGATCAGAGATGGAAAGCCTTATTGAGCAACTACTATGTGCCGGGCGCAGTTTAAAATGCTACTCTACGTGTTGACTCATCTAACCCTTGGGATGAAGCACGAGATGGTCTCTGTCACTGTCATATCCGGGTGGCTTGTGGCACACAGACAGGGTGACCCCCGTCTTCCACCCTGGCCTCCACGCCTTCGGGTGATGCACGCCCCTCAAGTGTGGGTGAAGCTGAGACTGTCGCTAACCGCCGTGGTGCAACCAAGGGGACCATATGTGTGTGACCGCACTGTGGGTGTCTGCACGCTGACATCTCTCTCTGCACGGCTGGCTTTGGGGAGGTGACCTGCCGTGAGTCCCACAGCCACAAGGGAGTGGCTCTGCCAGCAGCCTGAGTGAGCCTGGAAGTGGACTCCGCACGGCCGAGCTCAGGTGACAACCCCGCCGTGGCTCCGCCTTGGCTGCAGACTCCCGGCCCCCGGAAGCTTCTAGAACATAAATGCGGGCTGTTCGTTCTAAGCCGCCGAGTTCCTGGTACTTTGTCACGCAGTGGTAGCAAGCTAACTAACACCCATTTTACAGAGGAGGACTCGCGTGGGGATATTAAGCGTGTTGTCCCTTGGGCTCCCCGGGACATAAAGTGGCACCTCCGCTAATAATAAAAGCGACCCCCCCCCCGCCCTGGGAGACACTCCAGGCATTATGCCAGGTGCTGCACACCCATGTCATTAATTGTCACAAAAACTTTGTGCAACAGGCACTGCTACGGCATCCTCTTATGTCACAACTAAGGCAACTGTGGTCGCAGATGTGAGTTTGCCCAAACTGACAGCCATTTAGTGCCGGAACCGGGATGTCCACCCCAGAGCTCATGTTTGTTTGCTCCTTGCTCTGCATGCTGCTGCCTCCTGCAACCACACCAGGTGACTGGGGGTGTGTCCCAGTTAACACGGGAAGGCCCAGGTAGGTGTCTGGCCCACACTGGGGCTCCCAGAACTGAGGGTGGGCGCAGAAACTGAACACGAGGCTGAAAATCGTCTCTGTCCCTCAGTTTGCAGAGCCCAGGGCTACGACAGTCTTTAATAATGAAGCCACGGCGACCTGAGCCAGGCTACTAGGTCTGAGAAAGAGGGGGTGGCCGCACCCCACCCACCCACAGGTACACCCTTTATGGTGTGACTCTAGAGAAATTTTGCAGGTGAACTAGACATGTCTGGGGAGCTAATCCGTCATCCGGAAGCTCCCTGCCAATCCTGGAGCCATGACACAGGCAGTGCACGGTCATTGCTAGCATGCCCGTAGACCAGCTCTGCGGCAGAACATGCCAGAATCCTGTGGCCCAGCCACGTGGAACACGCTGCAGGGAAGCCACGGGGGAGAGTGCCACGTGGAAGTAGGACTAGGGGCTGCCAAGGCTCAGTTCAGCCTGACCTCGATTCTGCCTGTTCCAACAGTGTCACACGCTCCGTGCCCAAAGATGGTCAAGACATGACACAGTCTTGATCGAGAAACTCAAATTCAAGCAGAAGAACACATGGGGGTCATCAAACCGCCAGAAAACTGGTTGACAAAAGCCAGAGCAGAGGTCCACACAAAGAGAGTTTCCTTCCTTCCTTCCTTCCCTTCCCTTCCTTCCTTCCTTCCTTCCTTCCTTCCTTCCTTCCTTCCTTCCTTCCTTCTTTCCTTTCTTTCTTGTAGAAACAGGGTCTCGCTCTTGCTCAGGCTGGTCTCGAACTCCTCAGCTCGAACGATCCTCCCACTTCGGCCTCCCAGAGTGCTAGGATCACAGGCGTGAGCCACCGCGCCCGCTAAAGAGCTTTCTAAAGGGACTGCCCAAGTTCTTACTACTTCTTGCAAAAAGGGTAGAGGAGATGATTCCTCTTGAGTGTTTAATGAGTGTGTCTGGCTCAGAGAGATGGACTGAGCAAGACTCTACCAAAGTGCACCGTTATCTAAGACAGTTACTTCATTGAGTCAGTCTTTTCTGCTACAAAGAACAGAAAACCTGCAGGTTTCACTGCTGTCCCAGCTATTTGAAGGTCCCCAGATGGACTTGTCACCAAACAAGGATCGGAGCATTCCACATTAATTGCCAGTGTCCATTAGAAGGACCAAGAGAAGCCCTGCAGGCAAACAGCTGGGGCCACAACAACCAGAAAGAGCACAGGGCTTAACATGACTCAGACCCACACTTCCAAAGGGTCTTCACTGTGATCAGTAGCGTGATTTACCCAGAAAATGATTCATAGCCTCTTTTTCCATATAAACATTTTGTTCCTCGTGGAAGGATTCTTTACCATCTATTTTGGGCAACAGA